TATAATATTACCAAGTACTTAAAGCGTCAAAGGTCGTCTGAACTCGCTGCGGATGTTAAAGAAAAAAAGAAAAAAACACCAGATTGTGATCAATAATGATCCATCTTATTACCTTAAGATGCAGCGCTGCATGGTCCACTTGTCAACGCTGCAATTAAGTTATTTACAGCTTTAATAAACTAAATCCAACCCAAAATGCATTGGACTAAACAGCAACCATCTAGGGGGTAAGAAACAATTCATCTTCTTCTGCAACTAGCAAAGAACTGTTAGCTCTTTGCTGCCACCAATCGGTCAGAAGTGAAAGAATCAGGACAGTCGCTCAAAACATTAAGCTGACGTCAAATTATAAAAAAACCTATACTTACTTAGAAAACTATAGCTTACATCAGAGGTACTTTTTCTTAGATGTTTACGAATGTATGGAGTTACTTTATTTACTTTAATAATTTTTCTTTATTAATTTTTAGCTTCTTTCTAACTATGCCACTGTATGATTCTCTGTGTGCTTTACTATTATGGTTTTATTTCATTTTATGCATAATACTTTGAATTGTGTTGTTAGTTAAATGTTCTATATAAATAAAGTTGCATGTTCTGGCATTTCCCTTTCTCGCGTATCCCAATAATGTAGATCTTGTTCTCACTCTAAATGTTATATATTATAGTGTGGGTACCAGCCAGCTACAGGGAACAGGTAACTCTTTTTTTGTTTGTTTAAGCGGTTATTACTTAGTACATACTTAAAATGGATGCATAAGTAGTATAATAGTTTAGCAAAGTATGTTCAGGTTGTACACAGTGCTTTATAAAGATCATATATTTGGTAACTTTTAGGATTCTTTTTTAAACAATTTTTAAATCCTGATACCGCTTCTTATAATCACAGATTTAAATAATTTAACCACTTTGACCAAAACAATGACAGTTTCTTGATAAATTTAAAACAGTTGATCATCAGATGAGAGAATTATTTTTTAAAGAAAATATGTATTTCACTGTCACAAATTTGAACTATAAAAAAATTCAAATAGAACAGGAATACTTTTTGCAAGTTGGAACATGTATGTTGAATGTCTCTAAATATTCTAACGCATGCTCACTTATTCATGAGTGGACTGCATCAAGTTTATGCATCCCTAAAAGCCCTAGGTAGGTGAAAAAAGTAAGAGAAACTTACAAGAATGAGAAAATGCTGTTGCATGAGGGCTGATGTCATTAGAAGGTATTACAAACACCTCTTATAGCACATTATGTAATGATAATTGCAAATGTTGAGGTAAATAGATGGCTACCGCAGTGAAAACTGTACACATGAAAGCTGAATTAAACTTCAAATAAAATCAGACATCCGTTTCACAAGTGAACAATTATCTCTCCACATCTTGACCTGCAAATATTTTGTCCACTTTACACCTCATTGAAGATTCTTAGTCAGAGTGTTATCTTTGGAAAACAATAATTCAGCCTTAAAACACTATTCATTAAACTAAAAATAAGATAATAGGAGTATGTTGTTATCTATTATTAATTCAGTGTTGCAGCAATATGCAGTTTTTTTGAACATCATAAAAACCTAACATCTTAAGGGTGTATAAACATTTTGTGACAGTCACTGTAAGCACACCTGTCGCTGCGCTGCATGTAATGATAAAGGGTGGACACTAGAGGTAGCTATTACACCATTCTTTTTTTTTTTTTTACACAACTGGATTTATCATCAGCCTAAATCATGGATAAACTGATTCCAGTAAATTGTTCACTCACCAAAACAAACAAAAATTAAAAAAAGACAAATAAAACTATTGACATTTATTTATTTTTTTTTTTTGTAAAATACAACATCTAAGGAAAACTAAAGTTAATACGCCGACATAATAGGGATAAATTTAAGGAAATTTGATCTTCTCTGCAAAATTTTTGATGCACAATTACTCTAAATAAATATTAATAAAAATTCCCTATGCCTTCATCGCATTAAAAGCAACCACAGAAACAAATTGGTGAAAAAAGAACTGTGCTAAAAACAAAAAATATCTATAATTAATATAATTTGGTTTTTCTTTAAGAAATGTGTTAAATTACACATAAATCGAAAAATGTTATGTTTTCTTTGGAAGCTAAACATATAATAAATAGATACATTATGTTTTTCACTTTTTTGTTAAAAACATTACCATAAAAATATATCCATCAAGTGAAAAAAATAATAAGAGTATGGCTAATTTAACTGCATTTTTTCATCTGTAAAACCATCACCAATTTTACCCTTAACATATAGTATAACACATAAACTAATTTGATTGTGGTTTTGTGTTAAATGGAACTCTCTGAGGTGTGGGCTCCTGTAAGGGCGGCCCTGCTGGCTCAGTGGGAGGAGGAGAGTCACTCTCAGCCAGGAGGACCGCAGCGGCAGTTTGGGAGAACCCAGACGGGGGGAAAAGTGCGTTCAACCCGGGAGAAGTCTCACAGAGGTTTCCACCATGAGTTGGGGGACGGAGCTCTGGGTGAGTTGGAACTCTTCAAGCGGCTTTTTTCCTCCGTTTCGGTTGTTTTCCTTTGACTCCAGTGTCTTGGGTTGGACTTTTTCTTTCGGGACGTCGAGTGGAGGAAAGGTGCCGCGGCTCTCCGGTTGAGCTTTGTGCTGCTAGCCGGCGTGGCTAACGGCTAAAGCTAACCCACCTTAACGGCTGTGACAGCGGAGCCGAACAATAGGCAGCCAGGTTCCCACACAGTCCGGGGGGGAAAGAGAGGGGGGACGGACCTCTGCCTTCCCTGTCTCCCCCTGTCTCCCATGTTAGAAGGCTGGTTAACTTATTAAACCCGCGTTACTAAGTGGATTATCTCCACTGTCTTTATGTGTGGAAGGGAAGTTGAGTCTCCCCGGTGTTTGTAGACATTGTGTGGGCGTCACACCCTGCTTGTGGAAGGAGACCCCCATCCTGCTACGGCTCCTAAAAATTAACCTCAATTAGGCTCATCCAGTTCTTTGTCTGGATTAAGACATTTGGAAATAAATCTATTTAGAAAAAAATATCTATTTTTTATTTTTTAAACACACCAATGTTTTTGTGCAGTTAAATCATGACTTACTGTAAGGAAGTCATGGTGGATTTGTCTTCCCCCTGAACTCAACCATAGGTCTATAAAGAAAAGCTTATCTCATTTGCAGTTGTAGGACTGTCTGTTGCACAATATTAGTGTTTGTTTTTAGTGTGCATTAGAAAGGGAGCATGTGGCTGATTCCTATTTTGAATAATTTTGGGGTGTTGGCCATCCTGAGCTGTGAAACCAGAGAGGCAACCACCAGCATCCCCCCTTATCTTATGAGTGGGTGTGTGTAGGAGGAGGAGGGGATCCTTGTTGTCCCAGAGATGATACTCTTCCATCAGATTGCTTTGGTTATTATCTACTGTCTGAAATAAGCTCATTTTTGCTTGCTCAGCCTCCCGATGTAACATGACCATCCTGCTGCAGGCAAAGAGATAAAGTTTTGCTTGTGTGAAATACAGAAGGTTTTTGAAAAGGGTAATTTTTTCTTCCCATTCATGTTTTCTGTCCAGATTCTAATCTATCTAGGCTGCTTGTTGAGGTGCAAGATGCATGAACAGCTCAGTACCAGATGGTACATCTAAAAGAGGTAACAAAGATTGGCTTATAGTCTTGCAGAAATGGTTGAGAACCTGTGTCTTTGGCAAGATGTCTTTTAGCTTTCACTTCTGTGTGCACTGATCAGGCTTTATACCAACCATTACCAGTTTGGATATTTCTTGAAAGTCAGTAACACATAAAACATTATCTATGTTATCTTGTAATTTGTTGTACAAAAATAACAAAATTCAACCAAAAAAACCTCCACAAAACTTGTGACGAATGAAAATCATTTGAAAATGAGAGATTACAACATTATACTGCTTTATGCATCCCACTACTTTTGCTCAGTGTGTATCTAAAAAATGCTGCTGGTGTGTTAAAACTAATAAAAGGGGCGACTTTTTGCGTGTGCATGAGACACAGGCAAAAGATCTAAGTCCATACAGTTGGACAGGCTTGCCTTTGAGCAAATAAGGTCAGTCATATGATGCAAACTATTAAACAGCTAGAGGTGGAAGCCCGTGCTCAGTGATATCAAGTTACTGATTTCACAGTTATTCACCTAAGAAAGTGTGTGGCAACAGTATCTCTCTCACATTACTGCAAGATTTGGATTTTTACTTGTTTATATTTTTATCTATAGATCTTATAGAAACAGACAGCTGTTGATGGAGTTTACATGCAGCTGTTTGTGCTGCTTTAACTCCTCCATTATGCCAATGCTACACCCTCCCAAATGGCTATGTTTATTAGTATATATATTTATACCCATATCTTTTGTCTGAGTCTTGCGGCGAAGCGATCCAGTCATAGCGGAAGCTGACCAGTGGACCGTTGTAATCCCTGAATCCCCTGATTGGATTAATGTGTTAGCTGTCTGTGGTCAGATTAAGGATTACTACCCAAAAGATGTAAATCTGTTTATTGGTCAGTGTCATGTTCAATCGCTAACCCTATGTCATATGTTATAGCGTAGTGATTTTTAAATTCTGGTGGTTAAGTCGGTTTACTGTGGCTGTATATGTTGTTTAGATAACCGTAACTGGCGGACACTAGCATGGCTAAACATATTGAGCTTGTTAGCTGAAAATCTCACTGGCTGTAATAATCGACTTACGATCAACTGTCCAATAATGGGTTAATATATAATTTGTCCCATCCGTTTAATTGCTAATATCCGATGAAGGAATTTGTTTTAGTGTTGTAATGTGACTTTTGTCCACCACTGTTTATTTTCATTTTGTTAGCAGTCCTAATGCTAATTGCGAGAAATTTACACTGTTTAATGTTGACACGGATGCAGAATCTACTCTAATATAAACACTTTATAAACTCCTTTAGTTGGCACCTAAATAGCGCCCATTTAGCTGTGTTGCACAGCGGAGCAGCATAACTTTTCTGCTCTGCTCAGAAGGTGATGTGATGATAGAAAAGTGGAGGGCATTACGCATAATGTTTTTAACATTGTAGACAAAGACATGCCGACAATAAGCACCCCAGCAGGGTAGATGGATGAGGCTGTTGTGAATTAATGCAATTCATGGAGCTGAGTTTTAATCATGAGAGCGCAACCAAAACCCCCCTTTTAAAAGCACTTCTGTTTTCATCCAACAGATTGGTCAGTATATGATCCCTAAAAATGTTAACCATTTATGCTATGCATAAATCCTCAGGATACAGGAAAAAAAATCAAGTGTTTAAGAAACTGGTCGCTTATCAATTCATTTTTAGTGGATCAATATGATCAGTTAAGTTCAGATTAATTCATTAATGGATAATTGCAT